CCCCCCCCCCCCCCCCCAAAAAAAAACACTCTTTCAGAAGGCCCTGAAGATGTGGCTCTCTCTGGGCACAATGAGAATATATCTACTGAATAAAATTCCGCATTGGTGACAGGAAGGGCATCCGGCCAGTAAACACTCAGCTCCATTCAGTTGCCCAAACTCCACATCCCGCAAGAGATTATGAGGTCATTAAAAGGAGATGATATTGTTTTTTTTATTTCCTGTAAGCCTCCTTGAGTTATCTGTGAGCAAGTAGATTGCTGTGTAAAATTTCCAAATCAATCAGTCAGTCAGTCAATCAATCAATCAATCAATCACCGTTTGTGACATTCCCAGCTGGCTTCTGACAATCAAAGTCAATGGGGAAAGTTGGATTTGCATAACAACCATGCAATTCATTTAACAACTATAATGATTTGCTTAATGGCAAAGAGGTCATAAAATTGAGTTTGATTCATTTAACTCCTGGCTTGCTTAGCAACAGAAACCCCGATTCCAATTGTGGCCATAATTTGAGGATTACCTCAAATTATTAGTATTTTTTTAAAAAAGAAGTAGATATCTGAAATTGACAGACATCAGGGAGCAGCATAATTTTTCTTTCCAAGAAAATAAATCTCAATTTGATCCAGGATTCAAAGTGTTGTTAGAAAATCAGAATGGAATCCAGAGATTTCTTTGGAAATAAGCTTATCTCTTTGAACGAAACATTAAACTACAAAGTTTGGTGCTGAAAAATGAGATTCACACACACACACAATCCCTACTAATACCTTACCGATTTTCTGAAATCCTGAATATGTTCCTCCAATTTTTTTATTTTTTCCACCAGTCTGCGCCGGAGATCAGACGTAATCTCACCCAGTTTTGACTGTAAGAACCGGAAAGACGCTTAGGGTGGTTAATATAGTTTATTAGCTGAAGAAGCAGAGCAGAACACATATCTCTGGAGTCAAATTGAGGCAACAGGTTGATCTGATTTGGAATAAACATTGATCAGGACATTTCAATGACAATAAATATCATGGTAGTTAATGGTCATTCCGGTGCTAAAGCTAAAAACTGAAACAGTTGGACACCGAGAAAGAAAGAATTTAAATGTCTTAAAATTATAGATTTGTCTTGGACTGCAAGAAGAAGTAATTAATTAGTCCTGAACAAATAAAGGTTGACTTATGAGATAAAGACCGGTAAGCAGACATTGATATATTTTGAGCATGCAAAGCAGATGGATTAAAAAAATAACTATCCTTGGCAAAGTTGAAGGAACTGGAGGAATGAGAAGACACTGAATAAAATTAAGGAGATATCTGGAATGTTCGTCAAAAGATTATGAGTTACAACTAAAGATTCATCAAAGTGACAAAAAATGGATATACTGTACAGTCACCAAGAGTCAAATTCAATTTAATTGTATCTAACTACCACATTTAAAGATTAATTTGCTTGAGAGAGGCCTTCATCCAGGGATTTTCCTAAATCGGAGCTCCAGCACAATTATAGCGTTAGCCCAAATGGTTAACCAGGTCAGTTTACCAACCTAATACTGTAGTTGCATCTCTACAACTTCTTATGTTTATTTATTTTTTTAAACTAAGTTTGTTTGTTGGTTTGGTGTTTATGAATTTGAATGAGAGAGAGAGAGAGAAAGAGAGAGAGAGAGAGAGAGAGACCAACTCCTTGTGTGCTAAATGGCATCCCACCTCAGTCTTCATGACAAGATCCCAACAGCCATGGGCCTTCAGATTCAGACTTTGGTTAGACGCTTGCATGGTGAGATGCCCCATTTCCTCACGTCTGTTTACAACCAGGCGGGCATTGAGTGCAGTATGCTTTTGACCTTTCATACAAGCTGAAAATTCTAGTGCGTCCTCGGAATTTCCTATGAGAAAGAGAGGAAGGCAGTAAGGTGAAAGAAGGGAGGGAGGGAGGGAGGGAGGGAGAGAGGAAGGGAGAAAGGAAGGAAGGAAGGAAGGAAGGAAGGAAGGAAGGAAGAAAGGAAGGAAGGAAGGAAGAAGAGGCAGGGAGGCAGGAAGTAAAAGGCAAGCAAGGAAGGAAGGAGATAGACAAAAGGAGGCAGGAAGAAAAAGCAAGAGGAAGGAAGGAAGGAAGGAAGGAAGGAAGGAAGGAAGGAAGGAAGGAAGGAAGGAAGGAAGGAA